TTATGACTATAGCTCTGTAATACAGCTTAAAATCTGGTGTAGTAATCCCCTTGGTATTGCTCTTAATGCTCAGGGTTGTTTTGGCTATCCGAGGTCTTTTGTGCTTCCATATGAATCTTAGGATGTTTTTTTCCAATTCTGTAAAAAATGTCATGGTGATTTTGATTGGCATTATATTGAATCTATAAATGACTTTTGGTAGGATGGTCATTTTCACAATATTAATTCTTCCAATCCATGAGCATGGGAGGTCCTTCCATCTTCTGGTGTCTTCCTCAATCTCTTTCTTTAAAGATTTAAAATTTTCATTGTAGAGCTCTTTAATGCCTTTGGTCAGGTTTATTCCGGGATTTTTTTTTTTTTTTTTGCTTGCAGCTATTGTGAAGGGGAGTGTTTCCATGTGCTCTTTCTCTGATTGCTTGTATATAGAAAGGTATATAGAAAGGCTACAGACTTTTGTAGGTTAATTTTGTAACCTGCCACTTTACTGAACGTGTTAATAATTTCTAGGAGTTTTCTGGTGGAATTTTTTGGCATCTCTTAGTTATAATATCATATCATCTGCAAAAAAAGGATAATTTGATCTTTTCTTTTCCAATTATTACTCCTTTAATTTCCTGCTCTTGTCTTATTGCTCTTGCAAGAGTTTCAAGCACTATGTTAAAGAGAAGTGGGGATAGCGGGCAGCCTTGTCTGGTTCCTGATTTCAATTGGAATGCTTCCAGTTTTTTTCCATTTAGAATGATGTTGGCTGTGGGTTTGTTATATATGGCTTTAATTATGTTGAGTCATGTTCCCTCCAGTGCAATTCTCCCTAGGACTTTGAACATAAATGCATGTTAAATTTTGTCAAAGGCCTTTTCTGCATCTATTGAGATGACCATATGGCTCTTGTCTTTGAGTCCATTTATATGATTTATGACATTTATTGACTTACATATATTGAACCATGCCTGCATCTCTGGGATAAAGCCAACTTGATCATTGTGGATGATCTTACTGATGTGTGTCTGTACGCAGCTTGTAAGTATCGTTTTGAGAATTTTTGCATAAATGTTCATTAAGGTTA